CACTTCATATAAGTTTAGCCCATTAGAATTACACTCTCTTCATCTGTACACAATTCACTTTCTTAAGTGTTTATGAGATTGTGGACTTTGTTGAAAAGTCAACTCATTTAGTAGGCAAAAGTGCTCAGTTTAGGGTATTTCTGGTTGTTCTGTTTGAGATTTTTAGTCACTTAATTTTAGTATGCACATGGCTAAGATTTAATTTCTTTTTTTTTTTACAGAAAAATCTTAAATAGCTCAAAAGAGCTTTGCTGTTAACTTTAATAGATTTTGGGATCATCACTAAATTAAATATGCTAAACACAAGCACTATTGTTCTTGGCACTTATCTGTATTCACTGGTAGTTAACTATAAAAAAGGAAAAAAACGAGAACCAGATGATGGCTGGTTTATAATACATGAAGTAGGTACTGTTTTTACTGAACAAATAAAACTGTGTTCTCATCAGTTGAGTTATTTCACATGTAAAAGGGATGACTTGTCTTTGGAAAACAATATTCCAAAAATATATTAATTAGATTAACAAAATAATGTTAATTTAACTTTAATGCAAAGACTGCCTTGTTCTCAGCAAAGTCAAAGCTTTATTAAGATTTTAGCATTTATTATATTGATGACATATTATTTCCACACAGAGGCATAGCACATATTTTAACTTAGAGTGAATAAATGAATAATATGAATACAGTGTGCAATATGTGTACTGTATGCATATGTATGTGGATATTGTTCTTGCCCAAATGTTTTGCTATCTGATTATTTTTACAGGATTTTTTGAGAAAGTGTATGTTGAATTCTATAACATGAGTATAGTGAGAAATAGTGTCTGTGTTCCTTTAGAGCAAATGTATGTATTCATCTATAAAGTAGTTGACAAAGTAGCAGAAGTGTGTAGTTTAAGCAGCAAAGTGTAATGTTATTGTCTACTTTCCAGTTGCTTTTTGGAAAATAAACAAGCAAAATCAAGTACATACCAAATTTCTGTTCATTTAGCATAGAAGACTTGTATTTATTTCTGTATTTTGGCTGATCAAAATCACTGATCAGAACATAGTTGAGTCCAGAATGAGTGAAGATACTGCATATGAATACTGTAGTTAAAGCAAAAGTGAGGATTTTCTTCATGCAAGACAATAGTTAACCACAATGTAGCCAGACATCAGCTGAATTTTAAAACTGTAAACTTGATGAGGCATTGGGAATAATAGCACTCGAGTTATAAAAGTAAATTCCATTTAAAGGAATATACAAAATGACAGTTTTCTCTGTTGCCCTTACATGAGCAACATCACTGAATCTCATTTGTTCCTTAGAAAATTTATTTGCCAATGAAATAAAGGAAATCTTATGAAAAGGAATACTAACTGAAGAGTCTGGTAACTGACTACCCTGATTCCTTAAAAAATATATAAAATTGAGGGTTTTTTACTTTTAATCTTTGTTGATGATCTCAGAATGTTACGTCTCAACTGACCGGCATTATTAGTAGTCACAATTTTAAAGAATTCTAGTGAAAAAGAAAACCAAATGGAACTCCTATTTTTTGGACACAATACAGTCCTACATCAGATTAACAATAAAAGATTGTACATCTTAAAAATCTCCAGAGATACTGCACTGGACACCTATGATAGGGCTTAAGCAAATTTAGGCCACCCAGTTAAAGCAGACATTTCAATAAGCTCATATTCCAGTAACTACAAAAATCTATTGTGTGTACATATTTATTTTGAAGCATTTGAACTGCACAGTACCTGAAGTAACCAAACTTACTTATGACTTCAGTCTACCCAGAAGAGCCACATGTCTGTGTCAAAATCAGAAGGCCTCTGGTCTAGTGGGCATGCACGGTTCCTTCTGGCTTTAAACTATGGCTCTGTGGGGCCAAGGACTCCTACATATAAAAGACAACTCAAGAGGAAAGGTCATCTTTTTCTTCTTTGCCTCTCCTTCCTAAGCAGCCTGTGACTGGGCTGCAATGGTACCTATTACCCACCAAGTCTTTGTGCTTCTAACCATGTCGTATGGCAGGGACTACACATGAAATAGTCCCTCTTTCTGTTTGTTGCTTGAGTTCTGTCTCTCACTATACAGATATTTGAGGTATATTTATGCCCTCCTCTCTGAGTGGAAATGCGGAAGTCCCTCTTGTAGTCTTTTCCCATTCATTCATTCATTCTCCAGTTTTAACATTTACTCACCTCTTGACTTGGGTACCTAACACCCATGAAACAAGTTTAAAGCCCTTCTTGTCAGGTTAGCAAATCTGTTC